GCCACGGGCCCCCGGAAAGGAATCATTTGGTCCGGCCGCGCCTCAGCCGGAGGCGGGACACCGGCGGGACACCGCGGGCCACTGGCCCCCGGAAAGGAATCATTTGGTCCGGCCGCGCCTCAGCCGGAGGAGACTTTCTTCTCGCCCGCCCACGCAGCTTCGCCTCGCCCGCACGCACGGCACGCACGAACACAAAACCGAAACCGATTTCCCGGTAGGGGTGCTCTCCGTTCCACTTCCACTTCCCTCCGATTTTTAGGGTATTTTTTATTTTTCGTCGAAAATCCCCCTGTAGGGGGACAGGCCCGACTTAATCGTTGCCGAGCCGGCACTGTCACGAGGCAGAGGGTGTGGCTTCGCGAGCGGCCTCTCCTGCAGGCCGGGCCTCGGGCGCGCTCGGTGGACACGGAGCTGCTGGAGGTGTCCACGTCGACGCAGGAAGGCAGGACAGCTGATCCCGACAGCGCGCTGGAGACGACCAGCCCGCAGATGCCGCGCAGGGAGGGCCAATCGGGCCAGACGAAAGGGAGGGATTGGGAAAGGGGGGGTTACGAAATTTGCTGCATGCAGCTGGTTTCGGCCTCGCCGAGGGGCCCATTCCTCGATGCATGGCCGCCTCCGGCGCCGGGAGGCGCCGGGAAAGTCAGCTACGCGAGCTGATTCTCAAACCCCCCCTTTGCTATCCCCCCCTTTCGCCCGACCGGAGCCAAGACACACGGAAGGAGCTCCCGCACCTGCTGACCCGGATGGAGTTGACCGAACGCCAGCCGCTGCTGCAGATGGCCATGGTCGCGCTTGGTGCGTCCCCTGGCTTTGGACTTGCCCCGCGGGCGGTCCGATGCGGCGCTGTATGGCCCGGGCGAGGTTCCAGGCATGTCCCAGGCTAATAATTACGAGGCTGAGCACGAGTCCGAGGACCCCCCAGCTCATAGGCACGACCATGAGGCCCAGCGCGAGTTCGAGGCCAAACTCGATCACGAGGCTACGACAGAGTACAAGGCGAATGATGAGAGCGAGCATGAGACCGAAATCTCGCTCGAATGCGAGAATAAGGAACATGTGCAAATAGACGATATCGTCGCCAAGGGCAGCAATTAGAACATTACGAAGCTACGTCCGACGTTCCTTTTCTCCCTCTCCTCATCCCCCTTATCCTCCTCCCCCTCTCTATCCTTCTCCTCCATCTTCGGCTCTCCCCCCTTATCCTCGAGAACGGTGGATTGTGGCGCCCCTCGCCTTTCGGATGGTGTTGTCGTATGGTTTTCGTAAGGTTGTCGCATCCTTTCTCCTCCTCTTCCTCCTCCTTGTCCTCCTCCTCCTCCTCCTCCTCCTCCTACGGCTCCTTCCTTCTCCTCTTTCTCATCCTCCTCCTTCTCTCTCCTCCTTCTCTTCCTCCTTTTTCATGTTTCTCCGCCCACCCAAACCGTAGCCATTTTGGCTCAAATGGCCATATATCGAGGCAGCTGGCCAGGTCAGCTCGGGCCTGTCTTCAGGCTCGGCCCTCGACACACGGGCTTGGGGGCAGGCCCTTTTGGCACAACCTCATCCAGTCTCACTTTCGCAATTTGTGAGTTCAGAGTCACCCGCGCAGCCATGGGAGATGCCGCGCCTGAGTGGTTCTCGGCCTTCGTCACAGGACAGTTCGCTGCATTGACGAAGACGGTCACCGACACGAAGAGCCAGCTGACGGGCCAGATCAAACAACTGGACGGACGGATGGCTGCCCTCGACATCGAAGTACAGCAGATGGAGATACGTATCCAGGCTTCAGAAGAAGCTATGAAGAAAGCATCAGTGACAGCCTCCAGCACGCTTGGCATAGACAGGACGAAGCGGGCTAGAGGGGGTATGACAACTGGGACAGACACCAACGATTCATGTAGAATGTGGGTGAGTGGATATCCACGTGCTGTTCTTGCTGCCACGAGACAGACGACCTGGCAGCAACTCCAGCAAGGAGCACCGAGCCACCTCATGGACGGCACCACAGCGCAGTTTGCAACAACGAGTCAAAGTTTCTCCATCCACTTCAAGAATGCGGACGCGGCAAAGAAATTCAAAGAATGGTTCATCCAGCAGCAGCTTCAATGGAAGGATGCTCGAGACGGATCATGTCATGCTCCTACGTATTCGCACCGACCTCCCAGATGACGTCCGTCATCGACAGAGACGCATGTCACATTATGGGTGCCGATCGTTCAGTTCTGGTAGAATAACAACACGTACCAAGCCGAATACAAGATCGGCGCAAACGGGTTCCGCAACGAGTTCTCCATCCGCACATCCGATGACTTATTCATCTTGGCAAAAGGTGAACAGGGCGGGCTCGGCAGGCTGGTGCTCAAGCCCAACAAGAGCGACCTCGCCTTCTGGGGCATTCCCGTAAACCGGATGCAGCAGTGGATTGGCGGATGTGGCAGTGCACGCTGATGGTCTCCGACGCCAGCTTCTTCGGTGACATGCTGCGCGGGGGCGACAGCGGACACTGCCACAAACACGAATTCGCAGATCACATGCTCATCGTCTTCCTGCTCCTCGCCCACGTCGAGCGCCTCTTCTTCCTGCTCTTCTGACTCTGTTCACG